TTTTTTTGTTCCAGGAGATCAGTCTTTAAATCTGTAAAAACGTCAACAAGCAGGAAAAAAAAAGTTTTTTGAGGTAATGTGTAATGTAATCTTGTTAAAATTGATTTCATAAAATTGGTATCGAAAAAAATATCGTTCAGGAAGTATCGAAATCAAGGTATCGGTATCGGTATTGATATCTAAATTTTTTGAATGATACCCAGCCCTAGTTACATGTTCATATTTACATAAGATAATATTTAAACATAATATGAGTAGCCCTGCCTTGCACATCTCTTCAATATCAATTATTAATGAGACTGATAGGCCATTTCAAGCCAATTTGTTCAGAAAGCATGTGGAAACCTCAGAGGAAGAAAAGCAGATAAATCTTACCTGATGTGTGATCAGAATCAGTGGTGGTGTCCGTGGCCTCTGTTAGTGTCTCCCTGGATGCCTCCGAAGGACCTGATGTAGCTTCTTCATGTGATGTTTCATGGTCAATAAATGAAGGCATTGCTATTGCTGCTCCTGCAGCAACTGTGGCTGAACTGGGTGTAGTCAAACCCAGTGACTTTGTAACATGGTCAGTCAGTTCAACAGTTTTGCTTTCTGAATAGCTGGTGAATGTTTGAGATGCCTTTTGTGTCAATTTGGAGGTTCCTGTAGTTTCTATAGATTCTCCAGGTTGTGAGCTTTGCATAAAAACAGCTGATGTAACTGTAGAATCAGTGATGGTAACTCCACTGGAGGTCTCCGAAGGTTCAGGTTCTGGGCTGGTGGATCTCTGTGTAGACAGAGGTGGGGGGTTCACCATAACAACACCAACGCCAGTCTCATCTTCATACTCAGAGAACACAGTAGACTTAGCACTCTCAAGAAAAGTGGCCTCTGTTGCCAGTGTAAAAGATGACTGTGTGGAAGCATGTGATTCAGCCTCACCTTTACCAGCACTGGTCTCACCAGCTGTGTGCATCAGAATCTGTGCTGGAAATTTTGTGATGGATTCACTAAGAGAGAACGATAAAGTTTTGTGTCCAGGTTCTTCAGTGTGTACTGTGACTACAGTGGCCTCTGATTCTAAAACTCTGTCTCTTGTAACCCCAACCAGGATAGACTCCTCTGTTTTGCCGACTGCAAACATCGGTTTCGTGCTTAGGGAGTCTGAGAGTAAAATATCAGGTAGAACGGTCTTCACTTTAATGATGTTCTTGTCCTCTGTCTCCTCCATTGGTTCCTCTATGGCTGTGGGAACTGCAGTAGTAAGTTCTCCACGGATCACATCTCCACGAACTTTTGCTTTATCACCAGCCTTCTCAGTGCCAAAATCACTAATATCAAAATCTGGAAGTTTTGTTGTGGGAAAGCCTTCCTCAGATTTCGCACTGACTGCTGCTGCAAAAGGTGTGATGATGGATTCTAGTCTGTCAGGGACGTGGCTTGTCTTTGGTGGTGCCATGCTTGTAGAAAACATAGAAGGGGCATCTGTTGGAGACAGGTCATCATCAGAGGTGGCCTGTGATGCATGAGACGGATTGGCCTCAGGAGAGAGACTGGAGAGAGTCTGGCCTGTGGTGGGCTCCATAGTGGTACCACTCTGAACTGTGACATCCACCCAGGAGGACTGGTTGAATAAAAGCTTAGAACCTATAGTAAAAAATAAATAAATAAATAAAAAATTGTATCAGATTGCAACTTCTTGGTTACCGCTTCAGGTAAAAGGTAAAAGCATAATTATATGCAAATTATATATTTAAATTATACATATAAGCAAAACATTTATTTGTTAAATAAATATAAATGTGCATTACTGTTCAAAAATTTGGGGTCAGTAAGTTATTTTAAATTGCAACAATATTGCACAATATTACTGTTTTTACTGTATTTCTGATCAAATGAATACAGTCTTGGTGATATAAATGATTATTTTATTTTATTTAGGAATAATAAGAGGTATAAATATATTATGATATTTTCTTTTGTCACATGGTTGTCATGTTTAATATCCAGAATTGCATTTACAAATTTGGACAAACACTTTTTAAGGCCGCTGTATCTAAAATATTAATATAATTAATATAATCTCCAAATAAATCTCTGCTATGGGAATCTTTCAATTTTCACAGCAGCTTCCAAATGTCAGTCCATCTCCTGGGACATTATGCTTGATTGTATGCTTATTATAATTAAATTATTATGAAACATCATCCCATTATTGCTGAAAGGCGATGATTTGATCATACTGTCCCAGAGAGGCCTATATTTCTAACAAATGTTGAAACATACTTGGGTGATAAAGCTTTTCAAATTGTTGCAATCTGAAAGTGATTTTCACTGTAAAAAGGAAAGTAAGGGCATGGTAATTTTTACACAACTTTCTAGGTACCAACAGCTCTTTGAACATTTCATTGTATGCAGTGCTTGATTTTAAATATGTAAAGGTTGGCGTGAATAGTACATCAGATTAACTCAGATTAAGTTGGCTTTAAACTATTCAGTGGATTTCTTTCATGAATGATGAATGGTGTCCGAATGGTTACAACAACCTAACAATTGTTTTGCAAATAGTTTCTCATTCACACAAACAGCTTACATGCTTAAATGGCTTTTAATTACCCTGTGTTCACAAAAAAAAGCATCATCTTCAGATATAACAAGCCAGCAACCAAGGCTCCAGCTGTTCTCCATTATCTACAGGCTCTCTTTATTCAGTCTGACGTCAGCCATGAGGTACTTTTTCCTTTAAGAAAAATGTCCATCATCCACGTGATGCATTGTCTGATGGTTTGTGGGATGTTATTATGTAGCAAGGTGTGGTGAGGGGCAAAAACACAACATTTGTCATCCTAATCCAGCCTGATTAGCCTGTGATTTTATGCAGCTCTGTCACTATATCAAACATTCATAGTCAAAGGGCAGACGAACATGAGAACCAAACCCACCACGTAAGAGAAGACAATTCAACATACTCAATGCCACATGGATCAGAGAGGCTTGACAGAGTTGAAACAGACCAAACAAACACCAAGGTCATAGTGTCGAGGTTTAGGGTTAACCCCAGGTCCATTACTTATCACAGCAGTCACTGGCTGTCATTCTGGGTGAGTGCCCTGCCTAGCATGGGGTAGGTTTTCTAAATTAGCCTCAGTAGAAAAGATAAACCCCCCAGGTCAGGGGTTAGCGAGACTCACTGATTTTGGAGCTCTGGTAGTAGTGTTCTCCTTTATCCACATGTCTGTTCAGATAAGTGCTGGTGCAAATGACAGGAAGGAAGGAGAGGCTGACAGCGGAAAGAGGCAGAAAAAGAAAAGTAGCAGGTAATACCTAAGCACTTTTTCATCTTTGTTGATGGCTGTAGGCTTGTGCTTTGTTATGAAAAATGTATGTTATGCAACAAAAGACATAATGGAGAGAAGACAAATTATTTAGATAAAATGACTGGGAGAAAACAAAGCTCAACATAGCAGTATTAGGCAAGATTTGAGCTAAAGAAAATCAATAATACTTTTGTAGGATTTTATTGCTGACTGAATTCAATATTTTATGTTATTGTAAATAATCTTAGAAATGATTTTGGGGAATTTGGTCTTTTCAGGAAGGTATCAGCTGATGATTTTGGAGCTCTGGTAGTAGTGTTCTCCTTTATCCACATGTCTGTTCAGATAAGTGCTGGTGCAAATGACAGGAAGGAAGGAGAGGCTGACAGCGGAAAGAGGCAGAAAAAGAAAAGTAGCAGGTAATACCTAAGCACTTTTTCATCTTTGTTGATGGCTGTAGGCTTGTGCTTTGTTATGAAAAATGTATGTTATGCAACAAAAGACATAATGGAGAGAAGACAAATTATTTAGATAAAATGACTGGGAGAAAACATAAAGCTCAACATAGCAGTATTAGGCAAGATTTGAGCTAAAGAAAATCAATAATACTTTTGCAGGATTTTATTGCTGACTGAATTCAATATTTTATGTTATTGTAAATAATCTTAGAAATGATTTTGGGGAATTTGGTCTTTTCAGGAAGGTATCAGCTGATATTTGGGATGCACTATCCCCAATAACTACTTTCATTTTAGGGTGAAAAACGATAATCAGCTAATATTATAATGACAATTAAAACACTACAAAATAAAATTAGTCATTTAAATCTAACAAGTGAAATTAGGCATAAAAACATTATAATGTACAATATAAAAAATTTATATTCATTTTGAGATTTACATTTAACAGTGTTATTAAATTCTTATTGTTTTCAAAGATTAATTTTAGGTGAGCTTGAGATGACAGCAAAAGTAATCAGGATGCAAAATTAGCACAATTAAATATCCAATATTAGGCTGCTAATATACTGTATATAAATATAGCAATATGCATCCCTAGTTGATATGCCTATTACCAGCATAGAAAAGATCTGCTCAAATGCATTACCAAAATGGTCATTGACTAACTTGTTTTCAAGGGACTTTGACGAGTCTCAATGCTGTTTATCTTTTGAGACTGATCTCCCTGGTTGCATAATATTGTTCTAATGAGGTCATCAAAGCTGATGAGAACATTATCAAGTCTTTCTGAAGTCTGAGTACCTACAACACCACAAGGCAAAGTCTGACAAGCATCTGTCATTTTAGCCACAAAGCACTACAGTGGCATAACAGACTTCTGGATGTCTAAGCCCTCTTGTCCAAGCCCAGTTTGGTTTCCTTAGAAACGGGCGGCAACCCAGAATGCAGAAGAGTGAGGTCAGTGAATCACTGGAGAATGAGCAACTCTCATGTAAACTTTTCCATACCAGGCGTCTCAACTCAAAAGAACCTCAATTATCAAAAAGTGGTGCACTTTAACTAATATTCTGCTTTGATTTACTGCCCTTCAGAGGCATTCACAGTAAGTCTGGAGCTCATGTTTACGTGTGTTATGGGGTGAGGGCTCCATAATACGCATACTGAGAGAAGTGACGTCAAAGCAGCTGGTAAAGTGGCTGTTCTTGCAACCACTCAGGTGTTCATTTATTACACCATAAACAATTCATGAGTTCAGTGTAAAGTCTTTACCTTTGAAACAGTACGCTCCTAGCCTCATATTGGGATCTGGGAAGCCTGTTTGGTTTCGGTAGCGGTACATGGTGCGGACACCCAGCAGACCACCACCGCACTGACTTCTGGGTATGGAGACAGGGTGGCGAGCACTGCCATCAGACAGCCATCCATAATCACAGCGGTCCAGGCCCTGTCTCCAGGCAGCATGGAGTTGACCAGGTGAGGCCAGCTCTGCATTCATGCTTTCACACTCAGTCTTGGCCTCATTAAAGTTCATCTTACGCATTGTGGGCGCAAAGAAAACATTACCTGAAGTAAAAAAAGAAAAGAAAGAAACACACAAAAGAAATATTTTGTATTATTATATCTGAAATTAGCTGAATTTTGAGTTTGTCATCAAAACAGCTTACAAACTAAGAACGTATGTTAAGTATAATCGTAATTATTGAAGTCTTGCTAACAAGTATTTTCAAAGTGCCAGTCAATGAATCAAAACCCAGATATTGGGTGGAGGAGGAATACCCTAATAATATGATAAATGCAAATTCATTAAACAGTTTTCAAAAAAAGAAAGAATTGTTTTCCATTAGCAAATGCTGTAGTGAATCAAATGAAAATAAAAATGAGGGGGAGCTGTTTTCGCCCAGTCTTGGGTGTTGCTGTCAAAAGCTAGAACTGAGGTTTTTATGACGTCTAAGTAATTTACAGCAGAACAGTAAAGACATACCCAGATCTTCTTTCGTGAGGGAATGAGACATATTAAACACCACAACATACAACAGAGTGTTAATTTCATGAATCTATGTTCCATTTGTCTCTGATATTAGCTGTTTTTCATGCCTTTGTCATAACATTGAGCTGGACCTAGCACATATTAAGAATAACAAGTCTTCTGACAAGATATGAAAAAAAATTTTTTAATAATCCTTGTTATTTTTGGGTCATCCTTGGTTTTGTAAGAAATAGAATTCTTTACAATCAACATTTTCTCATCCTTATTAGTAACTGAAAATGCGACTTTAAATACAAGTATGTCACTTTTGTGATTTTTGTCTTGCTCTGATAAGCCAACGTACATATGTCAAAACATGCTTTTAAAGTTCACATTGAAAATGGAACTGAAAAGAGACACAGATTTGCTTTAAAAAAACTTCTCTTTTGTGGCAGCTAAAATATTGAAAGCTTACACTTCAATGTTTAATACCACATATGTTCATTGCCAAAATGGTCGATACTTATTTTTGGCTATAACGGCAGTTTAAAACCACATTAAATGTGTCAGCATAGAGCAAATATAATAGATAAACTACTGCTCTTTCACATAACCACAGAACTGCTGGCCTTGTCAACAAGGTTTTTTTGTTGCCGTTTTTTTTTTTCCAAATTAAAAATAAAAAAAATAAAAAAAGTTGAAATAAATAACATGTATAGTAAAATCCGTACCCTCGAGTTTATCCACATAGCAGTACACGTCGAAGGTCTCTGTGGGTCTGCGTTTGCCATATGACCTGATACCAGGTTTTCCAGACAGATTTCCAAAGCAGCCGGGCCTTGGTCTAGTGATTGGATATCTACAGATAGAAATAATCCACACAGAGGGAAAAGTTTCTCATGACTAAAAAAGTAGTACAAGTAGTACAGCCTATGCAATTTATTTTTATATCAACATGTTGACATATTGTCTAAAACTTATTACTGAGTTTGCCAGTAGAAGATATAGAAGTACAGACTGTTTGTGTGTGTGATGCTTCTAACCTCACTGTTTGATCTGCTATCCAACCAGCATCACACTGGTCCAATCCATCCTCATAAGCAGCTCTCAGCTGTTCTGCTGTAGCAATGGTGGCTCCAACATTGCTGCAGGTCTGCACAGCTTTTGCATAGTTCATGATGTATCTGCTGACCTTTGACCTGTAGTGAAACACTACGCCTGTTCAAAAGAATAAATAAAACAAACAAAAATGAACATGTCCTAACAAAGACCATTCCATCCATTAACATTTTCATTAAAAGGGGGCATCTTGTATTACTATCATTGTTGTAAGTGACCACAATAAATATGAAGCCTAATAGAAACTGCTTTACTGCAAGTTGCAAGTTGCTTATAAACAAATTAATAAAGCAAGCAGTGTTGGGACATTCATTTGAATGAGGGGACATTCCATCCACCCCCATAATTATCGCTTTGAAAAAAATTCAAATTAAATGAGTAATGGATCTAATTAAAATGGTAGTGTGTCTTTGCTGAGAGCAGGGTGGTGCTGCAGTTCTAGAGCCAAAGCAGTTCAGGGTTGACCCAACCCATCCTTTCACATGGCCTGAGCATAAATCAGCCCATACAAGATGCATCCTGCCATCACAGTATATCCAAGCAGAGGGAAGACATTAAGAGAGGCAAAGTTTATTGGAGTGCATTTGACTTTTTACATTGTAACTGTAATCTGGGAGAGTCCAAAACAACCTTAAAATCCCTCAACAATTTAGATAATCTGTGCTTGCGGGTTTTCTCCCATAAACAGTTCGACTTAACAGACTGAACTTTCATTTATCTATAATTTACTTGGGTTATGACTTTCATTGATCAGTTAGCTTTAAGGAATTTCCCATATTAGCAGCATATGTGCTTTAGATACAACAATGGTGTCTTTAAAAAGACAAGACAAATTTGAAAGAATATGAGACAGATAAAGAAAAAAATCTCACCCTCAACATTCAAACTGACTGTGTCTTGTGTGTCTTCGATCCCAAACATCACTTCACAGCGGTATGTTCCAGCATCACTGGCCCGAAGCTTCACCATAGTCAGAGAAGCATCCCCAATGTCTTCCGGATGACTCTGCACAGATACACGGCTCCTGTACCCTAAACCGATCTTAATGATGCCGTTTTGGGTGACAAGAACAGTCGACTCAACGCCCTCCTCAATTTTGGTCCATTTGATGCGCAGGTAATCTGTTCCTGAGGCATTTCTGTTTCTAGGTCCGACAGTGGGGTTGATGGAGAAGTAACATGGAAGGGTCACTTTCCCGGACAACAAGCCGCTGACAGGACGCATCACCAATAACCTGCTAGAGACTGAGAGAACTAAAGGCATGAGACGTTATACACACAGCTGCATCCACCGCAAAGCACAGGAAATCATGCCTTACTGTGTTTATGATAATTGAGCTGAGAATTATTTTACTGCCTCTGTGAAGCCTACGGGTGAGCACACCAGAAACTACTTTCCTGTAGAAGGACAGATAAACTTGAAGGGGGGACGTTGAAAGGATCATAACTGACAGAAAATCACCATATACTTGGACCAACAATGTGAGAAATGCTTTGGACAGGTGGGATTACCCCTCAGGGTAGCACACCTCCGTGTGAGAGCATGGCCTCTCGGAGTGATGAAGTCAAGCCATCTGTTTGCACCAGACTACAAGAACATCCTAATTAAAAGGTATAGGTGCCTGGAAGTAAACCATTAGAGGCAGCTGGGGGACAATAGTTTGTGGGAATGGGAGTTTAAAGGTCCCCTGACATGCTTAGAAACACGCAGCGTTACTCTGTGTTGACGTCATTTTAACTGAAACAGGAAGACAGGGCGGGACATATCAAGCAGCCCCGCCCCTTTTTAAAATAGCCAATAGCGTTCGTTTATATCACAGCTTGGGCTAGAGCCATTCAGAGCCGTTGAGCTCCATAAAGCCGCATTTGACAGGGTATGCCAGCCACAATCTCATCCATATTGCTATAAAATATAGCATTAACAAAATAACTGTACAGCAAATGCTGATTCTGTGGACAAGTGACCGATTTCAGCCGCGGCTTCAGCGTCTATTTTATAGTGTCTATTTTATTTTATAGCGGGCGCTTCGGATTCTAGAGAGCATTTGATTGGACAGAAACTTTGATGAGAAGCTGAAGTACGATGTGACGTCAAAAAAAATCGTTGAGCCGTTTTGGCGGAAGTGACAAACTGCAAGCTTTGAATGCTTATATCTTCTAAATGCGAATTTTTTCACTGTTTTGGAGCACACTGCCTTATAGATAACCTTAAGACTAACATATTGATACTAACACCCAAAAAACTTTAATTTTGATTTCATGGGGACTTTAAGGTCTGATTCACTACACTTTGACCAGTTCAGGAGATGCATTGAAATTAATTTAACAAATAAGTATATTTGTGTTGCATGAAATGAAATCATATAGACCCCTAAATAGATCACAGAGAAGAAAAGCATGTATATATTCACATGAATTTGTACCTTAGACTCATGCAAACACCAGTCTTACATTAATAAATCAAATGTCCACCCTTACATTCTGAAACTCTTGAACATGTAGAGATGTATTGCCAGTCAAACACTTTAATAGATGTTCATTTTTTTTATATATATATATATAAAAAAGCTTACCAGATTCAGTCGTAGTTTGGTATATGCAGATCAACCACAGCATGTGTTTTATATTTAGCAACATCTTCCAGTCTAGGAGGTGAAGATACGAATCATTGAATCATTGATTTGAAAAGTCACTTAAATCTAGCTGTATTCAGAGCTGAATAACATTTGCTATTAAGACTCATGAATGCTGAAAGGCTTTACTCATCTGACTGAGGCGATGTGTTGGTCATACAAAGTGTTTCCTCTCAGAGGGTGGGAGGCCGAATTGAGTATTCAATTTGCTATAATCCCCTGCGGGGGGTGAAGCACAAACTTTTGCCACCGCCACAAAGTGGGGCTCACAAGACTACCCACTGACCACATGAGAAAGTGACGTAAAGCAACCCAAAACTTAAGTGCGGTGTGAAAGTTAAAAGTACGTGACATGTATGTGAAAATTAAGGTTTCTTTGTTTCTTTCTTCACAGTATTTCATGCAGTTGTACGTTTTCTATTGTTTATTCCGTGCCTGTTACAGTATGAAAAAGTCAGCTCCTTAAAGGTGCCATTTGAAGTTTAACTGCCGCCTCAACGATCAAAGGGGTGAAAACGTGCAGTGGTGAGGTCATCGCACTTTTGACCACTCATTACCGAAATCTCATAAAACCAAGTATAAATTACAGAAATCATTGTGACAAAAATAGATGGAAGCAAATGTTACAGTGCACGAACACTACATTTGTATCTCAAAAAAATATCTTCAATAAAAAATAAAATGATAAAACAACGGACACGTGGTGTATCTACTTAGGAAACGTTTCCAAAGAATTGCACATAGATGCATTAAAATCCTCATTATCATCCAAGAAGTCTGAGATTAGAGATATCATCACTTTTCATTCACGTATACGCGCTGTACCAATGTCTGCGCGCTCTATTTCGCTTCTGCGCTGCTGTTGGAAGTTCCTCACTCTGTAATAATTAGATTACCCAGTCTAGAGTTAATGTTTTATAGTCAATTATTATCTGCGAATAGATATTCAGAACTGCCTTGCCCTAGACTAGGTGCCTTAAACGGAGCTGGAAGCTTTTACTAGTCATGCCCAATTATGTAGCCTATAGTCCGCATCAGAGATATGAAAGATTGTTAACGAGTCTTTGGCACTGCTTTATCAGTTCATTGATTCACTTTGGATAATTCTACTCCTGTATTGAGTGAGGTCATGGGAACTTAATATTTCCGTGTGACTCATGTTAAAATATTGTATAATATTATTCAGGCTACTCCATATTGTACAAATACTATAAAATAATATTTGGACAACAGAAAATAAATAATAATAATAATAGCAAAAACAATAACAACAATAGCAAGACGACGAAGGCTGAAAAACAATCGTTAAAAACTACATCTAGTAGGCTATTTTGAATTATTATCTGATTTATTTAAATGTAGGCTAATCATATTATGCCGTGACATGCATTCATACATTTTGCAATTACTGAATCACTCTGACTGACGACAGTGTCATAACATACATAGAACAGTACAAAATAATGAATGAAATACTGTACCTTTTATGAAAGTTATAATTCCAAACGAAAATCTTTAATCTTACTTAATCCCAGTTCACAGTGAGTCCTCATGAAACCTTCATACGTGTCCTTATCAGGAAATAAAAAGTGTGTTCTCCTTCTCCTCAATTTGATGAATCTCTCTGGACCGTGTGTTGCTTGCTGTGGTCCGGACACAAAATGTGAACGCTAACAGCAAATTCAAATCCATTTTACACCCTAAATAACTTCGTCAGGGATTTAGAGGAGGGGCTCACTGCCCACCCGAAAAAGTGAGTGGACACCAAGCAAAAGGGAGGTGCGGGGAAAGTGACAAGGACACACACACAATGCAATCACAGAATCTCCATCTAAAAAGGAACGAAAAGAGAGCGTCACTTTGCTCTACTCACTCCGAATTTAAGTGAATGTTAACCTTTATAATATAGCAGTGAAACTAATATGTAATGCCGTTGTAGCCAATAACACTTTCTACTCAAATATAACATAATGGTATATTAATTTATTTTGGATCAAGTTTAACTTTTGAATCGTCTTATTGTGCATGGCTCCTGCTAAAAAAACAAACAAAGAAGCAAACAATTTCCCTTAGGTTTAAATCCCAGGTAACAACTCAAATTACCTTAATTTTCATAATGAATCACAAATTACCAAAGATCACGTGATCATAAACAGCAAAATTACTAGAATCGAATAAAAGGATAAAGTCTTAAATCTGGCGAATATCCACATGACTGTTTCTCAAAGTCATTATTTATTTCCATGTTAACAATTTATTACAAGTCACGAATTATTTCTGTATTAATTTAATCTCAACAGTTATTGGATCACATGCATCAGACAGTTGCACCTCCACACGGGGGAGAGACAGCACTAGGTGATAAGAGAGAGCAACCGGATGTTCAAAAGGTTATAAAGTGACTCATATGAACTTTGAGACAGGAATACACCCTGAACTTTAAATTACTTTGATATGTACTTTGTTGTTTTGTAATTATTTAATTTAGTCTAATTAAATATAATGTAACCACTGTAAATAGTGAATTAACAAATAATTAAAATAATGAATATAAATAGACAGACAAACAGATAATACATTTAATCTTTCATCAATTTCAAGCAAATTTGTTTATACTTAAAAATTTCAACACAAAAATTCAATACATCAACATGCAGAATATGGAAGATATGGAACATGGAACAGAATATGGAACAGACAGCAATGCATGAGCCCTTACCAGTTAATATCTAGCCAAGATGTGCATTTCCGGGTCAGTGCTTTTCTGGCTTATTTCCTTCCAAGATAACAGATCTTAAGTTCAGCTGGAAAAGCTCACACTCCTCACCCATACCCTCAACACATGGGTCAGTGATTTGACCATTACTCACCTCCATTTACACCAAATGATTGGACATGGTCATCCAGTTGAAACTCAGAAAGAATCTCTACTCCCCTCTCTGACAGATCAAACTGGATGTTTACCCATCACCTAAAGCTGACATAACCAATCACTTAACATCTATGGCACGTATCCCAAAAGCCCTGCTACCTACAGTAAGTAAAAAATATTATGGACTTTCCAGTTAATCTGACTCATTTTATAATACAGTGATACAAAATAATTGTGTCTACAAGAAGAGCTAGAATAGCTATATTGGAGTTGTTGATTATATTGAGTAAAAACTGAAATATTCCATATTCTCTTTATGTCATGTCACCCAGATATAGCATTAATTCTCAGTCAGTGACTCAGTCAACCAGTGCATCATAAATGCACTGAATATTATCTCAAACCAGATGATAAACCAAAGGCAGAAAGGGTAGCTAGAAAATGTCTTTTAAATGAACCTTCGCAACCACCACTGACCCTCTTACAAGCTGTGATTATGTAGAACAGTTATATGTATAACAAGGCACATGATGCATGTTACAGCAAGCAACAAGTGTTTTGTCACTTTTCCCGACAACCACAGTCCGTGTCCAGACATGCTGCATAATCACGTGACTTGTGTTGGTTAAACATGGTCTTTGGAAAAACGTAAACTGTACAAGGCATAAATACAAACACAATAATGCAACTCCTATAATTACAAACAATGACTATGTTGAT